AGTTGGGGCTCCCTCAGGAAGACGGAAGCCACTATAAGGGAATTCGGTAATGGAACCGAACGTTCAGGAGCACTTGGGACATGCCAGGCGCCCGGGTGCTTCACCTGCATGGACTTGTGTCCTGCCTGGCACAACCCTGTGAGGTGGGTGCCGTGCGTACAGATGAAGAAACTGAGCAAAGCTCAGGCAGTCTCACCAGGCTGGGGGGAGGGGTTGCGCGGTAAAACAAATCAAATAAAAATGTCAAGTCCAGGACTACCAAGTCAGCCAAAACTAAGAAACCAAGGACCGAGACCCAAGGGAAGTCCAGAGAAGACAGGTATTATTCTGCACCTCTCTTTCCTTTGAAGGCATCAGGGCTTAAGGTGCTTGGATCCAGAGCCCAGGAAAGCAAGCCAAAAACAGCAGCCTCAAGGCTCCAACACTAGACCGAGCTTCGGCACTCTCCCAGCCCAGGGGAGACAGGGATTAGAGGTGACAGCCCTCAAGGAAGAGACACCGTGGGAGGTGTCCCAGTGCTTCTTTGAGAAGGGCTGTGCTGTATCAGTGAGGGCAAACCAGAGACATCCAGTTGCCATAGGTGACTAAGGGCCGGCCCCCATTGTCCCAGTCCCCTGGGGGATAAGGTAAGGGGCCCCCGTTCCAATAGCCCATCAGGAGGAAATAACTCTCTGAACAAGGACAGCTCCAACCAGAGCATTTTTGTCCTACACAGTACCCACAGTTACCAGGCCCAGGGAGGGAGCCAAATGACCGAAGAGAGAAAACAAACAAGAGAAGTAGACCCACGTGTTATCCAAATGTTAGGGCTTAGGCGTGGACTTGAAATTCACTGTGATAGTTAATTGCAGGAAGATAGAGGATGAGATGGAGGGTTTCACCAGAAAACGACAGCTTACACAACGATTCACCAGGTGGAAATGCCAGAACTGAAAAGGACAAGAAGTAAAAGGACGTAATGTATGATTCACGTGCCTTCGACACAGCAGAAGAGAGGACGGACAGGGGAGGGCCCACCTCAAGAGGCTGGAAAGACAACAGAGTTCAAACTGGAAGAAATGTCAGGAAAGCAAACAATAACAAGAGCAGGTGTCGGTGGGACAGAGGGATTGGCCGCGGTTGCGTGGAGGCCCAGGAGGAGGCGGAAGCCTGGCTGGCTGTGCTGCTCTGGCCTCCTTTTCGCTGTGTGACCTTGGCCAAGTCTCTTGCCTTCTCTGGACCTCTGTTTCCCATTGCAGGACAATAAGCATGATCACCTGTTTCGCCCAGCTGGCCTGAGGAGGGCGGCTGGTGACAGCTCTTTATTAGAATGCTAAGCTCCCTGCCAACCTGCAGTGTTCGCCTCTTCATTCCCCCGGCAGGCACAGGGCAGGGGGCTACCAACGCGAGGGGCTGGGGGCGCCCCAGCCTCGCGCTAACTGTCGCACACTTCAGCAGGCGTTTGCTAAACACTGAGAAACCCTCACCGTTCATTCATTCTGTTCTCCAGGTGTGTGAACAAGGCTCTCAGTGGCTAGTCATTGCCGCCACCTCTCTATTGCCAGGGCAGTTTATCTTTCTTAGGGCTCCTCCTTAGGGAAATCCGTACCTTCTGAATCCTTGAATGGGTGCTGCTGGTGACCCTGTTGGACTGTCACAGACACGTTCTCAGTGCCCCGTCCTGCAGACAGGCCAGGGAGCCAGGGCTCCCCCTCCCTGCTCTTTGTGTGGGGAAGGCACGGCCCACTTGGCAGGCAGGGATCCTTGGCCCGTGGCGTCTTGGCCCAGGTTCCTCCTCAGGGAGCCAGGGCTGGGGTTGCGCCCGTGTCGCGGGCTGCCTCCCTGAACAGAGGACAGGGAAGTCATGCATGCCCCTTTCTTCCCCAGGGCCTGGGGAGGGGTGGAGGGACTTTCTTGCTTTCCCCCTGTGTTTTTTTCCAGTGTTTTCAAAAGCACTAATTGTTACCAGCCCAGGAGCCTCTGCTGGTAAGTGGGAGCCCAGTGAGCACCGTGGCCTAGGAGATGTGGCCACCGGGACGGGCCTGGCAGAGGGGAAGAGGGTGTCACCGCCCCGCCCCCAATTCTGCACACAGCCTCGCCCTGGGTCTCATTCCACCCCCGGCATCAGCTGAGCGCACTCATCGCTCACACGGAGCCCGGACGTGGTGAGGGACCTCGCCTCTCCTCCGGAATCTTATTTGATCAACGTCATTTATGGAAGTGAACTTGTCTCTGCCCTTGGCATTGGGATGCAAAGTCAAGAAGAGTGTCATGGGCCCTGCTCGTCACAAAGACAAATGCAGTGAGGCCCTGTCACTCCTCAGCTCAGACCCTCCAGTGGGCTCCGTGTCACTCGGAGAAAACCTAGTCTCGGGGACAGCGTCTGCAGCCACATACCCCTCCACCCCCACAACACACGTGCCTGCTCCTCTCCTCCACGTTGATTGGGCACACCAGCCCCCTCTCTCCCCCCTTAGAACTGTTTATCATGAGTCTCGACCACCTAACCCAGTGCCCAGCCCAGCACAGGGCCCAGCAGACACATGGGGAGTGAACTGGATGGGTGGACAGATCCTGCTTGATTGACGGCTCTGAGAAGTGAGCCAAGTCTCTGCTATCAGCTCCATTTTGCAGTTAAAGGAATGGTTCAGAGAGGTTAGGTAACTTGTTCATGGTCACACAGCAAACGGGTAATAATACAGCGTCCTCTGGCTCTTGGTCTGTGCTCTCGCGCTTAGATGTCTGGAGCGTCAGCCCTTGCCTTTCCCTTCGTTCACTTCTGCATTCCCGATGCTACATGTGTGCCAGGTGACAGGGCCGCCGTGAGAGAGACTGAGTTTCTGTCCTCACGGAGCTCCCGGCCCAGGGAAGAAGGAGACAGGGAAGTACACCGAGAAGGAGACAGAAGGCAGAGTGGAGCCAGGATGCTGTGGACGCCCAGAGAGGCGCCTCCTCGTGCCGGGAGCGAGCAGGCCTTTCTCCAGGACTCAGCGCCAGCTCAGCCCTGAGGAATGAGCGGGGACCAACCAGAGCAGGGCGGCTTCTCCGCACAGCGGGGTCAGCCTGGGCAGGGGCCCAGGGGCCAGAGCAAGGGTGGCTCTGGGGGGGCAGTTGTGTGGCTTCAAGTTGCAAGCAATCTGCTTTACACAACAAAGGGGATTTATTATCTCATGTCAGCGAAAGGTCAAAGTATAGGGCAGGTTACAGGTGCGGCTCGATCAGGCATTTAACACCACTTGCCTGGTCCTGTCTGGCAATCCCCTCTTCCACGAGCAAGCAAAATGACCAGCATGACCCTGGCCTCCACATCCAAACATCAAATGGACCAGAGCAGAGGAAAAATTCTTCCCTTTGTGCAAAAGTCAGGGGTTTCACCCTGACTGGACGGAATAGGGCACCTTCTCATCCCTGGACCAGCTTCCGTGGTAAGAGGGGAGGGGAACCCTTGGCCAGCCAGGTAGAGCAGAGAGAACCCACCTTCGACGGTTCACCTGGCTCCAACAACAGAGCTGCTTCTTAATGGAGGGGCTGGGGAATGGCTGGAAGAGGGGACCACGGTCACCATTAGGTTCTAAATACAAGCCAGCCTGTCAGGAAAAGTGGAAGATGGAGCGGTCGGTAAATCATAGTGGCTCTGCCGCCGGAGCTGAGGTGTTGAGGAAGGTGGAAGGGGCCACAACGCATCTTGGGCTCTGATGTCTCTAGGCGAGCGTTGTGGGTTTAATCATTTCTTAGCAGCCCCTCTCTCTACCAAAAGGTAATAACAATTCCTTCAAATGTTGCTGTCCTGGAAGAACGTATATCCTGCTTGTTGGTGATCTACAAGCTGAGGGTGGGGGAGAACTGATCAGTCAAATAGAGATGGGGACACAGTCCAAGCAAAGACCAGAAGGGCTCATTCATGGTCCCAGGCCGAGGTGGGACCGCAGCTTCCTCTGCAGAAGCTGGATGACATCAGTGAAGTCTGGGGACTTGTGTTATGGGCATCTGAGGTGTCCCTGTTTGCTTCCTTTGATTATGAAATCTCCCCTTTCTTTATATCCCTCCAACTATGGTCACCTGGAGACTGGTTAACAGACAGACGGCCACCTTCCGAGCAGAGTCCTCATCCCTGTTCCTGCTGCCCCACCCCCCCGGGTTCATGGAATCAGAGGATTGTGGGTCTGGATTCAGACCTGCTTCTTCCTTCCCCCATGAACTTGGGCAAGGCATTGACTATCTCTGAATCTCAGTTTCTTCGTCCAAGGACAACATGGGAACCCCCTATTTCTAAGCTGGCGGTAGGCTTTGAGGATAATCTGAGTTAAATAGATTTGTATGAAGAATGTGCTATCGCATCTGGCTTTCGGTGGGTCACCCAAGAATATTCATTCATTGAAAAAGGAAAATCAAGGTTTAGCAATTGCCTGATAGATCCCAGGAGCTCAGCAGCTATCACTTTTATCTTATCTTCATAACCATTCTGTAAGTGGATGGTATTACTCCATTTTACTGAAGAGGAAACACTGAGGGCCAGAAAGGTCGATGAACCAGAACTTGAACTCGAACTTGAACTTGGGCATCTAAGGTCCCTTCTGTGGGACAAGAGATAAGTGAGGGAGCCTGAACGCCCGGGTATGCAGAAGCCGGCATAAGCCCCTCAGCACACCCTTTATGCTGTTGAAATTAGAATCTAAAAAGAGTGAAAGAGGGAGAAAGTGTGTGCTCAGCAGTCACTGTGACTGCGTCATTGACTCAATTCCCGAAATCTGGTCAAATGCTTAAATGTACTAGGAAAGGTGGGTGGGACATTCATGTGTCCCTTATCAACCTTGTGGAACAGGCGTTGACTTCTCTGTGTACACGTGCACACACCAAGGCTCGGAGGGCAAAAAAGGTCTTTCACAGTCACCCGCCCCATTGGCTTGAGAACAGAGCCGAAGGTAACGGAATTCATCCTGGAGCAGGTGGGGACAGAGACTTTTTTTCTTATAACAAGATAAGAGAATTTCATTCTATTTTCTTCCTCCCTTTCTGTGCAGATGACAGACAGCCCTCAGTGCCTTCATCCAGCCTACTTCCTCCCCGCCACCTCTCTGGTGACAGCGTGGTCAGGCGGTTCTAGTTAAGGATCATCACACACCATCCGTTCCAGAGGACAGTGACAAAGACAGCTTCCTTCTGTCCTGCACCGTGGACCTTCCTTCCAGGTCCTCGCCCTCGAGGGACCTGACATCATCACAAAGATTAATTACCCCTCAACGCTTTTGGATGGGAAAGGAGATCACTGGTATTAAGTTTGATTAGCACTCCATCAGGAGACAGTGTCGGCGGCTTGAGGACTGGTGACGAGGTGGGCTTCTTTATTTCTGGAAGAGACAAATTTTGTGCGAGAAGAGTCATCCCACCCTGAATGGTCCACGTAACCTCTGAGTGTCACAGGGTGATGTCTGGTGCACCGAGGTGGCCGTCAACGAGCGGAAGGGAAGTTGGCTGTAGCCGGGCTTGAGACCCCTCTGGGAAGCCTCGCCTTGCCTTGGGATCGAACCTCCGTCTCTGGGGTTTTTCCTCCCAAGTTCCTCCTCAGTAAGGCGTGATTTCCACCCACCCACCCCTGGGAGTCCTCCTCAGGACAGCAGAAATGGCGACTGTAAGGAGGAGGACCCTCAAAGCGCTTGCCGGCCTGATCGTCTTCATCTTCTTCACCTCCTTCGTCCTGAATTACTCCCACATTGCGGTGACCACCACCTGGTCCCCCAAGCAGATGGTCATCGAGCTCTCGGAGAACTTCAAGAAGCTGATGACCTACTCTCACAGGCCCTGCACCTGCGCCCACTGCCTCAGCCAGCGCGGGGTCTCGCCCTGGTTCGACGAGCGGTTCAACTGGTCCATGCAACCGCTGCTGACGGCACAGAACGCGGTCTTGGAGGACGACACCTACAGCTGGTGGCTGGTGAGAGCGGGGGTCTGGGGGTGAGTGGGGGCACCTGGCGTGTACCTGGGGCCCTGCCAGGCACTTTGCAAGAATCACGGTATTGGTCATTCCTTCACTTATTCATTCATTCATTCATTCATTCAAAAACTACTTATCAAGGAGGACCTGCTGTATATAAGTCAGAGCAGAGGGTTCTGCGAGGACGCTCTGGCCTGAGCACTCATGATGTTGGGGTGCATAGGGGCCCTTCCCGGCGGGGACCTGGCCTGTGGCTGCCACCCTGGGGATTTTCGGAGTGTGGTCCCCACACCAGCAGCGGCAGCGCCTTGGCCTGGGAGCCTGTCGGACGTGCAGGGCGTGGGGCCCAGCGCAGGCGGACCGTGTCAGGATCTGCACGGTAGGGCGATCCTGGCTGGCGCCCCCTTGGGAGCCAGGAGCTGCCCCGGGGGATCTTCTCAGGAGCAGATGTTTCATCCTGGATTATTGTTTGTCTTCTATTGTGGTAAAATAATATTTATCATCTTAACCACTTACAAGTGTTCATTTCAGTGGCATTAAATACATTCCCAATGTCACGCAAGCATCAGCTCTATCTATACCCAGCACTTCGCCCTCATCCCCCCGACGCCCCGCACCTACCTCGCCTCCCCCCGGCCCCTGGCAACCACCATGCTACCTTCTGTCCATGAACTTGAGTCCTCTAGGAACCTCGTGTGCGTGGAATTGCACAGCCTCTGTCCTCTGTGTCCGGCTTACGGTGCTAGGCACATTTTCAGGACCCACTCGTGCTGTAGCAGGCACCAGAATTTCCTTCTTTCTTTACGACCGAATGATACTCCCTTGCACGCACGCCCCGCGGTTTTAAATCGGTCCGCCGGCCACCGGGCGTGCGGCATCCCCGCTGGCTGACCCGTCGCCTTTGGCCCTCTGCCCACAGAGGCTGCAGCGCGAGAAGCGCCCCAGCGACTTGAATGACACCGTCAAGATGCTTTTCCAAGTGGTGCCTGGGCACGTGGACCCCCTGCTGGAGAAGAAGCCGTGGGGCTGCCGGCGCTGCGCCGTCGTGGGCAACTCGGGCAACCTGAGGGAGTCCTCGTACGGCTCTCAGATAGACAACCATGACTTCGTGCTGAGGTGAGCGTCGGCCCCCCGCCCCGGCCCCCTGCTCTGCGCCAGGGGCTCCGTGGGGCTGAAGGGAGCATCTTGGCTCAGGGTCAGGAGGACAAGGTCCCAGCCCTGGTGCACTCAGACTTACCGGGGGGGCCCCCGGCCCCTCGCGGCGCCCTCTGGGCCTCAGTTTCCCCATCTGTGCACACGAGGATGGAGACGGGCTGGCGGGGCCTCTCCTTGGCACCAGGAGGTCTGGAGAGATGGCAACATGAACTCGAACGCTCTCATTCAATCTTTAAAATTGTTCTCATTTTGCAATCTAGGTCATAATATAAGTCTACACTTTTAATGTAAAATGTATTTTCCTACCACCAAGGAAAATCAATATTCCAGGAAGGTGTCCCACGCGTCTTCTGTGTTTCTTACAATCGCTGTTCAGTCAACCCAGAGGCCCCAGGGCCCCTGAGGGAGGGCGGAGCAGCAGTGGGGCTGGCGATCCCCGCGCACCTTCCGGCATCTTCCTGTTTCTGGGATCTCTGACTTCTTGTCCTTAGACCACTCACCTGGCCTCTTGGAGCCTCCGTGTACACCTGGAGGTCAATGGGGACGTCCGTGGCGAGGGGGACAGAGTCAGGTCCAGGGTGAGAGAGACCCGCGTTCAAGGCTGCCACTTGGCAGCTCTGTGTCCTGGGACAGATTCCTTGTGCTCAGGTCTCTGTGACCGTAAAATGCCCGCTGGACACGGTATCGCACCACGAGGTGTGGCGCTTGGCCACGGTAGTGCCCCGCACATAGTAGGTCGTCAGTGCGGGCAATGCGTGAGCTCCTTTGGGATCATAAAAGAGAGAAAAGAGAAACCCAACAAATCTTTCGAGCTGTGCGTCAACTGTCTCTGTCTGACAGATGAGGAAACTGGTGGAAGGAGGGCACTGGCCTGAGGTCGCGGCTGACGCCGGGAGTCGGTGACCATGTGATACGACGCGCGTTCTTCTCTCCCTTCTCCTCCCAGGATGAACAAGGCCCCCACGGCGGGCTTTGAGGTCGACGTGGGGAGCAAGACCACCCACCATCTCCTGTATCCCGAAAGCTTCAGGGAGCTGGCTGAGAACGTCAGCATGGTCCTGGTCCCCTTCAAGACCCTTGACCTGGAGTGGGTGGTCAGCGCCACCACTACGGGCACCATCTCCCAGTAAGCTCCCTCGGGCCCCTCACTGCCCCTCCTCACCCTGTGGGTGCCCCCCGCACCACGACCCGGCGCACGCTGCTCCTGTCCCCAGACTGGCCCCCTCTGTACACTCCTGGGGTGCACCAGCCCCACAGCCCGCGGGCCGCCTCTTGCCCCCGCTGTCTCTGCTCCTTCCCTTCCCATCACTCTTAACACACCCTGGATTCCGGCCTTTTCCCTCCTCATGACCCGCAAGCGGGCCATGTGGTATGCTTCCCGGAAACCCTGGCAGCTCCCGGGGACGGGCCCGCTGGAAAGCGCTCAGCGTATCTTGGTTCCGATCCCCATCCCTGCAGTGCCACCTGCTTCTCGAACTAAAAACGGCCCTGGGTGGGGTGGGGACGTGGGGTGCTGAGCACATCGGTGCCGGCATGCATCATCCGCCCTGTGGCGCCTGAGACTGGGGGAGCCCCATCTTCCGGACACCCACTCGGCACTGGGCACATGCTGGGTGCTGTCTGACCGAATTGTCCCAATAGTCGTCATACCTCCCTTCTGCCAGGGAGGACCCCGCATCAGGGCTGGGCCTCGCGCCCAAGGCCGGGCTCTGCAGCCAGGCTCGCACTTGGCCCGCCCCTAAGGCTGTGCCATTCCTGAAGAGAAGTGGCTTCGGTGTCCAGGCGGCCAGAGCCTCCTGGTGCGAGGCCGCGTGAGGACCGGGGTCAGGACATGGGCTGGGCTGCGCCTTCCCGTGGGAGCGGGGCTGACAGGGGAGGAGCCTGGTGGCCTGGGCTCAGCTTCCCTGGCCTTCCACCTGGTCCCAAGGGCTTGGAGCATAAGCAGCACCAGAGTCAGGCCCAAGTGAAGCCAGGTGACCTTCATCTTGGAGGTGCCCAGACTTTGCGGGTGAAAGGGAGACGGCACGGGCCCCATCCGCCAGCACCCCAACAAGGAGGGCGGGTGCTCTGGCCTCCGCATCTCCTTCAGACTGCCAGCGGGGCTTGGAGCAAGAGCCCCTTCTAAACCTTTCTGGGAGAAGGCCCCTAAAACAGCAGAAGGTTCTCGAATGGGCCAAGATCGCCCTCTGGTGTGTGTCGGGGGCCACTGCAGGGCGGTGGCAGAGGGGCTGCTGTCCTGAGAATCAGGATACCCCTCAGCCTGGCCCTGCCTCCCTCTCCAGCCGCCCCCAGAGCTGCCTGTAGGCAGCCCGGCCACTCCCCACGTTGACTGGTTGCTCTTTCTCCCGCAGCACGTACGTGCCTGTCCCTGCGAAGATCAAAGTGAAGAAGGACCGGGTGAGTGGCTGCTCAGGCCCTTGTGCCCCGAGCTCAGCTCAGGCATGAGCCTCTGCCCGATGGGAAGGAGAGCACCGTCCTTGCCCTCCGACCCCTGCTACCCCTGCCAGCACCTGGCTGCCAGAGCCCTGGGCGTGGCTGGGGGTCCCTGCTGGGGACACTCGCTGGGAAGGCTGCTCCAAGTCGGGGGGACCGGGGCCAGCAGCATCACCGGGGAGATTGTCCCGGAGGCTGACCCTCAGGCTCCCCCCAGGCTCCCCCCAGGCTCCCCGGGTTTTCGGAAGGTCTCTGGGGGAGCCAAGGAGGCTGCAGCGTGAGAACCACCGCTGTACGGTGGGAGCTTCTCAAAGCCAGCCCGCTCGCGTGTCTCCGGCCGCACCTGTGTCCCCCCCTCCTCCCGGTGTGGGGCTGGCCAAGGCCTGGGCAGAGGGCAGAAGGACGAAGGCAGGGGAGTGGCCACCACGGGGCCGCTCCTGTGCACACGCGCTCTGAGCGGGGTGGGCAGACGGGGCTCACAGAGGCCTGGCAGCTTGCCTGGGGGCGCCGCTAGGTGGCGGTGATGCTGGAGCTGCAGCCCTCCCGGCCTCCAGCGTGTGCCTGTCATGGGGGGCTGCGGAGCCGTGGGGAAGGAGCCGCCTGTGAATCTGTAGGGCAGAGCTGGAGGCGGGCGGCAGGGCTTCCCTGAGAGGCCAGGCAGAGAGGTCGCCAAGTTTGAACACAGGCCCCGCCCCGGCACCCCCCCCGCCCCCCGCCACCCGCCGGCCCCGCCACCGCCCCCTGCCGCTGGGGGGCTGCATTAGGCTTCCCGCTCGCGCTCCCCTCTGCTGCCAGACAAGTCCCCTCACTGTCCTCAAGGCAGCAGTGGGTGGTGGGACCCAGGCTACACCTTATACCAGGACACCGCCAGCTTGACCGCCGCTGGCTGTGTGGCACTGAGCCCGTCACGGAGCCCCCTGAGCTCGGTGTCCTCCTTGGTAACAGGAGGAGAGGGAAAGCTTGCACACGGGGTCATTTGAGGGACCGGAGTCCATGCAGGCCCAGGCCAGGTGGACCGGGGTGGCTCGGTGTGTGAGTTTCCATGCAGCATGGCAGGTCTGTCCTTGTCCCTCCCCAGCGCCTGCCGTTCCCTGAACCCGCCCCTCTGTGGCCCCACCATCTCAGGCAATCCCTGTCCCCATTGGATTGTCATGAGATGTCACCGGCTGGGCAAGCCTCCTCACCGCAGGACTTCACTGCCTCCCTCCGCTTTATTTCTCTCCGTGGCCCCACAGTTCTTTTCTAGCATCTTCTGTCTTTTCCCACTAGAGTGCAAACCCCGTGAGCGCTGGGGCAGTAGTTCCTATCACACGTACGTCCCCCGTGGCTACAACAGTGTGTCCCACCGGTAGGCAGTGGTGTCCTTCCCCAGCCTCCTCTCTGAGGGCCGTATGCTCCTTCCCACAGATCCTGATATACCACCCGGCCTTCATCAAGTACGTCTTCGACAGCTGGCTGCAAGGCCACGGGCGGTACCCGTCCACCGGCATCCTCTCGGTCATCTTCTCCCTGCACATCTGTGATGAGGTACGCCACCCTCCCCCAGACCCCCCGGCCGCGCCGGGGGCCAGGGCTCCTCATGCTCTGCTCCCAAGAGAGGCAGTGAGAGCATCTGTGGTCAGGCTGACCTTGGCCCTGACCCCGGGCCCCAGGGGGCCCGGCAGTGCCTGTCTTGGGCTGCTTTAGGGAGAGAGAATGCTCTCAGGAGCGAGTTCTGGCTCATTCTGCATGAGCTCCCCAGGCAGCGCCAGGACCAGTGGGTGGAGGCGCAATTTGGGGGCACAATGAAGGAGCGGATCATGGTAGGAGGTCTGTGTAGGTATGGCCCCTTTTCCGACCTTGGGGCTGCATCCCAGTGCCCAGGCCACGCCCAGCCCACTTTCACCAGAATTTCTGAGAGTGGGAACCAGGCACCCAGGGGTTCCGTGATCCCCCAAGACGGACAACCAGAGGTCTTGGAAAGTGTGCGTTCCCCGTCACGGACTGTCCTCGACATCCACCAGGTGGTGCCAGGTTTCTGTCGACCATCTGGGCTGCTCACTGCCGCCCTGGGCAGAGGAGCAAGAGGGGCACAGGGCGGCCTCCACATTCTGCCTGGTCCTGGGTTCAGGCTGGACACTGAGATGTCCCTTCTTGTCACGTATAGCCCGTCCCTACACCCAGCCTGCCTGGCTCATGGTTGGAAATCCCAGGGAGGGGCCGAGGGCTTGCTAGGCACGTCCACCATCCCTGCCTCACTTGTCTGTCACCAGCCTTGTCTCTTTAGCCCGAAACCTGAGTGTCCCTCCCAGAAGCCGTATCTCCCTTGCCTTCTACCCCTGCCTTCCCCGCCCCATCCAGCCAGTGGGTCACAGACCCCCTGGGGCTCTGCCTCAGAAATGCTACTCCCATCTCTCCCTTCCTTCTCTGGGGTGGGCTCATGTCCCCTCTGGCATTGACCAAAAGGCTACCCTTGCCACAGAGCTGTCCCGTGCCCCCAGTCTGCCCCCCCCTCAAATCTGTCACCTGTGCTGCAGCTCAGAAAGCGTCCCTCTCCCTGGGAGCCCCTCCCCTTGTCCCTTCCTGACCCTCTTTTACCCCTTTTCCAGGACCCAACCCCAGTGTCACCTGCTCCCTCCTCTGTGCCGCCAGAATCCTGACATTAGCCTCGTCCTTCACGGGCCACTCAGCTGCGGCCTTCTGACATTGACCTTGACTTTTACTTAGCTCGCTTTGGTGACACCAAGCTGCAGGGAGTTTTAGGAACCTAGAGAAGGGTTTTGTTGGTCCTTGGAGACGGTGTTGCAGATTCCGGAAAGACTGTAGGCTTCCTTCCTCAGAGGTCCTACCTGTGGCCCTGCTGTCGTGTCCTCACCTTTGCTCACTCTTGTCCCCCCACAGGTGGACTTGTACGGCTTCGGGGCGGACAGCAAAGGAAACTGGCACCATTACTGGGAGAACAACCCATCGGCGGGGGCTTTCCGCAAGACCGGGGTGCACGATGGGGACTTTGAGTCTGTCGTGACAGCTACCTTGGCGTCCATCAACAAAATCCGGATCTTCAAGGGGAGATGACGCCGTGAAGGGTTACGGACGGATACGCAGAGCATGCCTCTCACGTCGGCCCCAGCTTCCAGCCAGAGCTGTTCTGCTCCGTCCCGGGGGCTTCCCAGGCCATCCTCTGGGGTGCGCCCAGGTGCCCCTGGAGCCTCTTGCACCCCAGCACCTGGCAGCATCTACTCAGTAAGGTCACCCAGCACTGCTGGGACTGCAGGGCGAGTCTCAGAAGCTGCGAGGGGCGGGGAGACCTCTCAGTGCTTCGGAAGATCGGGGGACAGACCCTGAAGACTCCCCTGTTTTAAAAGGAAGGACCGTTTCCCTGGGAGGATGGGCAGAGGCCTTCCCCTGCCGGGGGGCCACCGGGGCTGATGCCCAGGCTCCGATTCTCACTGGGATGTTTCTGAGTGAGGATGGTCTCTGGGACAGAGCCACGTGGGCCATGTGCCACCGGGGGCGAGATGACCCCTTCCTTGCACAATGCCTGGCCTCTCTCTCACTTGGCGTGACAACTGCATCTCCCCACCCTGAAGGTCTACATCCTTGGCGAGGTGTTTCTGGCTCCAGCTGATGTCTTCTTTCCACGCCGATGTTCTCTTGAGTAATCAATCTGTCGTCAACATTATGGCTGAGAGCAGATCTGACTACCTCCATGTGCCTTTGTATTTGGGGGAGAATGGCATGTGTTAGCTGAAATGAGGCAAACACCCCAACTCGGGAAAGGGGACCCCTGGCAACCACCCCCCTTGCTCTTAGCTGGGGACATCTTTTCTCATTTCCTGAGCCAGCCCCTGAGTCGGGTCAAAGCTCAGAAGCCACGGAACACCATTCCTTTTTTCCACAGGCTGTTGGATGGGGCGCCCGTTGCCTTCCAAGCCCACAGGGAAGGTCTCCCCCCGCCTGCATCTGCCCCAAGGGCCCGCGCTCTGGGCAGTCCCCGCTGGCCAGCTGCACGGCGTCCTGGGGGGGGGCCCTTCCTGGGGGTGTGACCATCAGAGCAGGGGAAGTCATACCTCATTCTCACTCTCCTTCTTTGTCACCCTTCCTGATTATTTATTGATTTTTTTTTTCTTTTGTTACATTCAGCTGACATCGTGTGCACTTTCTGGCTCTATTGCTGCCCTGGGGTTTTAAGTGAGCTTTCTCCGGCTCCAGCCAGCAGCCGGGGAGCGGGGAGCTTATCGTATGCTCTGTTGGAACCCTCAGACTTGGGTGTCGGGGGTACGTAGGGTTTGGGGGCTCGCTGGTGGGGAATCCCTGGGGCGCCAGGTCGGTGGGTTTGTGGAGTGTCCTGTGCTCCTTCTCTCCCAGCCCCACCTCCTCTTTCCTCATTGGGACCTTGGGTCCAGCCTCAGGCCAGGGCTCTTCAAAACCTCTCAGGGGCCCAGGCCCAGGCGGAAAGGGGTGATTGGCTCAAGTTACTGACATTTCATCCGAAAAGCCATGTTTTCCTGTTGAGAGCATTTCCCAGAAGGCCACGGCTTCCCTGAGGAGGTGTGACAGGGTCCTTCCTGGTGGCTAGCGTCAAAACCAAGGGGCCTGCCTCCTCCGCTCCCTGAAGTGCTCTGGCCAGCCCTGCCCTCCTAGCCTCCCTTTCTCCTGCAAATGGGGAGAGAGGAATTGTGGGAGCTCAGAGGCCGCAGATGGTGTCAGGCAATCCATGAGAGTCCCCAGAAATGGCATGCCACATTTTTTTTCCGAGTCTATACAGATAAGCACTTTCCTGGGGAAAAGTTTCATAGCGTTGATTCGATTTTCAAAGATTCAGAATCCAGGAAGGGTTTTAAAAAAAGAAAAAACCTGCCCTAGCGTTAAAACCCTCCAAAACTTAAGACTCTCTTGCCTGAAAAAGGCTCATAAATCGCCCAAGGACAGGCCATCATAGGGCTTGCTCACAGCGGTACTTGACAAGAGACGAGAGGAACTCGGTGAGCGGCTGGTGGCTGGCTGATCAATCCCGGGGACAGACCTTAAGAAAACAGTCACTGGGACGGAGCAGTGTGGCCTGGCTCCTGAGCTCTCTCGCCTTCTCCTGCAAGCCGAGTCTGCTCAGGCATGTCATGTTCAGGACAAGGAACCTGCTTCTTTGGGCTTTGCTGGGCCAGAGCAGGTCCCCAAAGGAAGGCCATGTCCCCCACTGAGCCGCACTCTGCCTGGGTCTGCCGCCGGCTCCCTGTCCCATCCCCCTCCTTCCCGTGAGCCTGCCCAAGCTGCAGGACTTCTTTCAGCCCTTGGAATCTGGCTCTCCCCAGTTTACAGATGAGAACAGCAAAGCCCACAGAAGGGATGTGACTTGCAAGAGTGAACTGATTGTGACAGATAGCACAACCCAAACATTGTGAGCAAAAGAAGGACGTAACCGACCCCACGTTAGAACGTCCCAGGGTGGGCTTCCCCAGCGAGGCTCATCCCTCCCGTGTCTCAAGGCGCTGTCCCCGGGGCTGGCCACCGGCTGCCTCCTCTGGCTGCCACGGCAGCTGCGGCAAGCTGTAGTCCCTGCCTCCTCAACGCCCCCCTCCCGGGGAGGGGACAGCTGTGCGCTGCCATAGCTGCAGCTATGACACCTCCTTGTGACTTACCTACTTAGTAAAGGGGACTTAACCAACATAAACGCCAGTCATCGTGGCCAGAATTACAAGTAAATGCATTGATTGGCTTAAGCCAAGGGGACCCATGCGGAGGGTAAGAGCAGCTGAGGGTTGGGCCCGAGTGTTTTCCTGCAAGGCATTTGGCAGTGCTGTGGGCAGGAGGACAAGAAACAGCCGGGGTGGGGGCGGGGACTGTGACATGTCTTCTCCCTCCCCTTGTGGTTGGGCTGCCTGGGGCACAGGGTTCGTCTGTGGTCCACCCAGCAGGCAGAGAGCTCTTTGGAGGCCAGCCCGGGGCCCAGATGGGGAACAGAGGTGCCCGTGCCTGCAGCAAACAAGGCTGAGCCTGGAGCCAAGAAAGGGGTGCTGATGAGCAGCGCCCTAGCCATCAGCCTCCCGTGGTCCCCTCCACGCCCTCAGGGAGCCAGGAGCCAGAGCCACCTGCCACAGAATTGACGCCTGTATACCCATGTCCCTGGACCCCCTGCCTCCACCCGCCCTTTGGGGAAGAAAGGAGGCAGGTTGGCAGCCTCTGGCTCCTGGAGCGACCTGGGGCTGAGTGGCGAGTTCGCACACTGAGGCTTTGGGAACCCTCAGGCACTGCCCAGAAGCCACGTGGGCTGGGCTTCGTGGGAGAAACCAGCTGAAAGAAAAGATACACCACAGGCAGGCCAGACACAGCGGCGGGGACGTCTGCCGTGGCCTCAGTGCGCGCTGAGCCTTGGGGTCAGCGGTCGGATCGGTTCAAAACATGAGAACTGACGTTTGCTTTCCCGATGCCCTTCAAGGCAGCCTGAACCCAGAGAAAATGAAACTCAGGAAAGAGTCGCCGAACCTCTCTGAGCCGCACCTGCCTCACCTGTCACCCACGGTCCCTCACCTGGTTGTCTGGGAACCCACGGCCCGAGGGGCTGCTGTCTGGCGTGAGATGGCCGGATGCTGGCGACGTGCCATCCAGACTTGACACTGTCCTCTCCCCCCAAAGAGCTTGAACTTCTGGGTTTGCAGCCACTGGGCCACAGGCCACCAGCAGTTCATCCTCTCCTGGCGCCCGGGCTGGCCAGTGTTGAGAAAGACTTTTCCTCCTCTCGTTTGTCATGAAAACACCAGCTCCTGCCCCCGGGGTGCTGCCTGGCACCTCTGCGGGGAAAGGAAGGGGGTTTAGGAGGAACCGCAGAGATGGGCAGAGCGCATCATACCAGCAGGAGGCGCTAGCACTTTCTCAGCAAAGAGCACTCTGCTTCCTACAGGCAGCCTCCTCTGAATGCCCCTCGGGACTCATGTTCCCTGGGGTCGATCACAGTACGGATCTGCCGTGTGTGGCTCATGGGCCCAGGCTCTGAGCCGGACGCCAGCTTGAACCCCGGCCCGTGTCAGGAACCCCCACCCCGCGGGAGGCCCCCGGTGCCCGGTCACGCGAGCACGTCACGGAATTCACATCAAAGCCAAAGTTCCCTGAGCACTTTTTCTTTTGGCAATCTTGTTTGGTTGGTTGTGGGTGTTTTTCACTCCCCCCCCCCGCCCCCCTCCACCTGGTCCCGCTCTCGTGTTTTGCAGCCGAGCGTTCCTCTGTATGTGTTTTGAGTGACGTTAGCGAGAGCCGCTTTTCCCAGCCTCTGCTGTGTTTTATTTATTGTTGAACATTTCCAATGATCTGAATCAAAGTGAATTAAAAAAAAAAAGCTATTTTATCGTTTGGGGGTGTGTGTCATTTTTCTAGGACGGCCGAGCCCGCAGGCTGCCCCTCACAGTTTCCACTGGTGTGGAAGTTTCAGTCCAAAAAAGACACGAGGCTCCGCCTCCCGGGCCTCCTGGGGTGGTGTCCACAGGCAGCGCTACCCTCTCCTGCTGCGTGACTGCAGGGCGTCAACGAAGCTCTCTGAGCCTCAGCTGTCTCCCCTGTGAAATGGGGGCCACGACAGCAGCTGTCCCCGGGGGGTGAGGCCCAGAAGCACACATCGCCCGAGGCCGGCGGAGATTCACGCCCACCGCTCTGCATGTTTGCTGCGGGGGACCTGCCTGGGGAGGAGCTGGTGAATTCAGAGGGGCCCCAGCTGTGGAGGCGGGTGGCACTGCTCCGCCACCGCCCAGGTGCGGGGAGGCAAGAAGCAGGAGGCAGGAGGTGAGGAGCCTAGAAAGGGACTGGGTGAGGTGAGGGAACGCGAGGTAATGGAAGCCACTGGGGAAGGAGGAGAGAGAGGCGGGAGCTGGTGGGGGGGGGGGCATCGCAAAGCTGAAGACAGGGGTCCTGTGGGTGTCAGTTCACAGGACATTTACAGAAGCCGTTGCAAGAGCTGGGAAGTTGTGGGCACAGGTGTCTGAATGAATGGCCTTTAAGATGGGGTGGTTCCAGGTGACGGAGGCGGAGGGGGGAGTAGCCTCCCAGGGTCCGGCAGGGCAGGTGCTGTATGTCAGCTCCACAAGGACACTAAAGTCACCAGGATAAGGGCACAAGTTGGTTGTAAACACCATGTACAAAGTCTGCCAGGAAGGAGGAAAAGTAGGCAGCAAGGTGCTGGCTACCCTTGGTAGGAAAAAGGTTAAGTACTACATAGGCAGGTATAGCTGAGAAAAATTGGTGGGAGGTGAGGTGGGCGTGAAGTCCAGAAACACCAGCAGGTGCCCCGAGAGCCATGGTCCTCACCCCGACAACGTGGCTGGGAGCTGGACAAGAATCGTCGTAGGTGTACCTACCCTGGGTACATCTCACAAGCCAGGGCCAGCAGCCCCTGGGATGCCACACACCTGGCACAGCTCCAGGTGCACAGAAGACCTTAGGCAAAAGGTCGTGATTGCTGTCAATCAATTCAGGACACCCTTTCTGGAGCCTTCTGGTAGGAATATTCATGCATAACATTTGGCTACCGAGGTTGAACGCCCTGAAGCACCTTCAGATCCACAGATGTCCAGGTTCAGCTTCCTGTGGCCCCCACAGATTCTGAGAACTCCTTCCCCTCCATGTTTTATAGCAGCTGGGCTGGCGTTCCTGAAACTTTGTCCAAAACAGGGAGGTATGGTTGTTGTAGATTTGTGGATTGCGAGAAGATTCCTGCCCTTGCTAAGTTCCCCAAGGAGAGGACTTGGCTGGATCAGGAGCACCCACAGGTCCCGAGAGTCAAGCGCCCGGATCCAGGCCTCCTCTGTAAAGTGGGAGTGATGTTTCCTGGTCTGTCTGCCTCATGGGATTGTGGGAAAACTAACCTAGTTTATGTGTCCACTCATTTAGTTGGACAAATATGTACTAAGGGCCACTAGGGGCTGCGGGGGCAGAGATGAGCGAGCCAGCGCCTCTGCCACAGACGGTCACAGGCTCCTTGAGGGGGCAGGCAGCCCGTGGCAGTGCCACGACCAGTTGTCGATCATCAGCAATGACTACGGATGGTTCCCTTTTGCACGCCATCCATTCGAACTATGTTTTGCCTCCGTTAATCTCCCTCAGCCCTGCAACAATTCTGGCAAGAGGCACAATTTCCCCTGCAGGACCAAGAAACCGAGCCTTGGGGAGGTGACTTCACTTGCCAGGGAGGAGAAGGTGTAGCCAGGACGTAAAAGCAAGGTGCTGAGCACAGGAGTACTGGGTATGGACTATAAACCTCTGTTCCCCTCAAGAGCAGGGGACACTGGGTTCTCAGCTCTGCTCCAAACCCATGCACTTTGGAGATGAGCCCCCACCACGGGCTGTTTTGTCACTGTAGAGCCCACCCTGTGCTGGGAACGCCCAGAGCTGCCAAAATGGTCCTTTTGTCCTGGGCCAAGAGCGCAGACCAGGGTTCCTACTGGTGATGGCCACCAGAGGGCGCAATGGGCCCACTGTCAACCAGTTGATTTCCTCCCAAACAGGGTTCAGCTGGGACCAAACCGTGTGAGCAAACGCACACACCTGTGTATCAGGTCCGCCCTTACAAAGCCTCCTACACACACCTGCATATCAGGTCAGAACTTACAAAGCCTGGGCATTAGGCATTATCAAGTCCAACACCCTCCAGATAAGGGGATGAAGATACTGCCACTGGGTCAAGAAAATAGGGTCAGTAGAAAAAGTCCCAGCCAAGTTGGAAAAGGTCAGAACCCCAGGCCAGTGAGCTGGCTGAAGGGCTTTACACAGCGTCACGTTGTCACCCAGCACGGCTGGCCCGGGGTCCAGGCCGGACCCCCAACCTGGGAATGCTCTCTCCCACCCCTTCTCCGTGACTCATTTGCTTTGTAGCCTAAAGGGAGAACCTCTTGGAGCCTCGGATTGTCAATCTGCAAGACGGGGATGAACTGAGAGAGCATATGCGAAACAAACAAGGCAGGCGCCATTGTCTGCGTCCCGTCCGCGCCAGGTGCTGGTCCTGCATTTTCTCATTTAGTTCTCACCGCAGCCCCACGAGGAGACGGCGTCCCTTCCTGCGGGGGATGCGGGGGAGACTCGGGGGCTGGGAGCTGGCTGCCGGTGGCCGCACCCGCCACAGGGCCCAAGAGGTCTGAGGGCCCGGCCCTGCCCGGCCCCACCTCTCGGACAAGACAGGCTAACGTTGCAGTAACTAGGGAGCCCTGCCCTGGAGACTCAGAACGGACAGCACAGGATTGTTTCCTGCTGTGTCAGAGTCTTATGGGTCCCCGACACAGTCCCTCCATGGGGTGACCCGGGCTTCCTGGCTCTTTTCCTCTTGCCAGCGGGCCAACTTCATGTCCACACGTGGTCTTCAAGGTCACTGTGCAGGGGGAAGTGGGACGGAGGTGACTCGCCAGCTGTGAGCTGTTTCCAGCTGGAGTCGACACTCACTCCCCACTTATGTGGCCACAGCGGCCCACATGGTCAAAACAAAACTTCCAGAGGGGCTGGGAGCTGGGTCGGAGGCCCTGGGAGAGTCAGGTGCACTCACTCTCTCCTCCCTGATGCCACAGACCCAGACCCTGGCTCGGCGCTGGCGGGTGAGAGGCCCCCGGCCCGGCCTGGTCAGCCCCGAGGGTCCCTGGGCAGAGAGCTCAGGCTCACGGCTCGGTGACCTGCGGGCAGAGCAGGGCGGCCCCAGGGAGGGCCCGGAGGCAGTGTGGTGGGACCAGGGCTGGCCCCCTCCTGCCGCTCGATGCTCGCTGCTACCCAGAGGGCTGGCATGTGGACAGCGGGTCACTGTTACCCCTGCTACCTGGCCCCTCTGTGCAGGCCAGGCCCCCCAGGGCAGACTCCCCAGGGACGGCATCGCGGAGTGAGCTCTGTCGTGGGGGCCGCCGAGCGGAGGCCAGGGGACCGTTTGGGGGAGATGCTAGGGAGTAAGTCCTTTGGGCACCAGGGAAGCTGCCGTGGGAAGGGGGTGGATCCTGCCCACGAATCCAGCCAAGCCGTTTGAGCAGCTGCTCCCATGCCCCGGCTTCTGCAGCCTCTCATCCCCGCTCCACACAGGAGCATTTGGACGAGGTCTCCGGCCTGAGACAGAGCAGCCCGCGGGGTCAGCAACAGCAGGGCTGGGATTCAGGCTCCGCGCTGCCGGTTCTCTGGACAGCCCACTGCGTCAGGGTTCAGGGAGGGGCATGTCCCCCTAGCTGGGCCACGGGCCCCCCGTGACGGGCACCACCTCGTGTCCTGGAAGCAAGCAGAGCCTTGCCTGGTGGTGTAACGTACGTGTGAGGAGCTGTGCAAGGTGGTGGGATGGGTCCCCAGGGGAAAGGCCTGCTCCAGGGCGGGCGCGGCTCTCAGGGCAAGGGGCTTGACAGGTCTTCTCTGCTCTCTGGGGGACCCCAAAGGAGTCAACATGTTCTGGAAGTTATGGCTGGAATCTCTTCCTGAAATAGAAGGTCATTTCCTTTTCCCTGTTATGAGAGAGAGAGAGAGAGAGAGAGAGAGAGACCATGAGGAATGGGGGGGGGGGAAAGGAGGCAGGAGCGAGGAAGCAAGAACCTGGTTAGTGTCCCTCCTTTTCCTTCCTCATTTAGGCAGGTGTATTTTAAGAGATGCAGTCATAGCGAGAGAACTATTTTTGCCTTTCATTGGTGTGTTCTATTTGTAACCAGTGTTTCCCACATCAGAAGGTTGATCTATAATCGCCGTTTTCATGGCAATAAGAACCTCTTTCCAGGAGACGACGTACTTTAGTGAGCTTCCTGTGTCCAGGGCACGGTGTCACAAAACGGAGAGCCGCCCCCGGTGCTCACGGGGCAGTGAGGGCTGTGCGGAGGGGGATGGTGGGGGGGGGGTGTCTTTGTTTGGGGAAGCCTCACAATTACATAGGCAAGCATGGTGGGGAGGGGGAAGGAAAGAAAAGGATAGAAAGGAAGGAAAGAAGGAAGAAAGGTAGGAGAAAGAAAGAAAGGAGAGAAAAAAGAAGATGAGGCGATGCTAATGCTACTAATATATAACATTAAGATATTTATCACTAGTATCAAAAACAAATTCTTTTTAATTATCTATGGAATGAGATAAAATGTTTCCGAATCATGTACTTGAGAAGAGCCTAGTTTCCAGAATACATAAAGGACAGTTCCAACTCAACAAAAAGGCAAACCATGCAATTTAAAAATGGGCAAAGGATCTGAATAGATATTTCCCCAGAGAAGCTAGACACATGGGCAAATGCACACGAAAACACGCTCAACAGCATTAGCTGCCAGGGAAATGCCAATCAAATGGCAGCGAGGTTGCACTCCGCCCCATGAGGATGCT